CCATCTCAATCCATCTCTCAATTCGCCAACCAATTTACGAACTTTGCTGCCGCTGCGGGGATTAACAAGGACAATAAAATTGTGGTACTTTTATTCCGAGCAAGACTATGCGATCCGTGCAAGCCATTAATTTTTGCAGCTATGGAAGCAAAGAAGCAGGTGGATGAAAATTATGTATTCACGGTAGATAAAATTTGTGACATCGGTCGTGAGATCTTTGGGGATGAACCGGTTGGAGAGAGTGCTCGTTTGGTAACAAGTAAGGTGAATGCACCAGTGAAGCGAAGACGTGGCAGTGCCTCCCAAGAATGGCAACAATACGGGGCGAAGAAAAGTCAAGGATGTCTTAAACATGGGGGTGATAAGGCCAATCACACTGCTGAGGAGTGCCGTAGTCAAGACTCAAAGAAGCGCAAGTTTTTGGGGAGCAAAAACAGTCCGTTCAAAGCTACTGGTAACGTGATGAAGGGGCAACCGTGCAGGTACTGCAAGAAGGAATGGCAACATGGTCATACCTGCAAGGAGTATTATGAACAAAAAAAGAATCGTACTGTTTTGGCTCTTCGTCGGGAGGACGATGAAGATGATCAAGGGCCAAAGACCTCTAACATCAAAGAGGCTATGGAAGTAAATGCATACGAATGTAAGTATAACATACAAAGGAAAGAAAGAAATCCATTAAATTGACATTGACTCCTATCATTATTAGAGAGCAAAAAGTAATAGCAAGAATCGACACGGGATCGGATATCTCATGCATAAATAAATCAATTTTAGACAGTAAATTCAATAAAGAAATAAATATTTCCAAAATAAACGGGTCTCTTAATTACCTTTCACTTGACAATAATAAGAAAAATATTAAAGTAAAACGAATTGGAATAACAGAACCTTTAAGAGTTCGTTATATTAATGATTTAAATTTCGATTTTGCTTTCGAAGTAGTAGAGTTCAGCAGTGTAATGGAATCCCAATTTGATGTATTATTAGGACTCGATATCTTGAGTAAATTACGGATATCATTGTCGGGAGTTGCCTATTGTTACCCCGATGAGGAAAAAACAGAAGCACAATTTCGGAATGTAAACTTTGACACGCAGAACAAATATGATCCGGAAAATGCTAATTATGGTACGGACAAGGAACGAAAGGTATTTTTAGAAGAAATACATGGGGCCACCGAGGCAAATAAAAATATACCGAAAGGATCGTTTTGCACGATGCCTGAGGCACTCATACGCATCCCTCTAAAAACACAAACAGATAACATGTATATCAAGCAGTATCCGTTAGTGTACCATCAAATACCAGAAATACAAAGACAGATTAATGAATGGGTAAATTAGGGGATAGTATACGAAATCATACCCAGCTCAAAGTATAATACACCATTGTTAGCTGTAGGAAAAAAGGATGACCAAACTGGGCAATTAACCAAAATAAGAATGTGTATGGACCTTCGAAGAATCAATTCCAATATTGATGACTCTAAAACGGACAAATATGTGATCCCGGATATGGAACAAATGTTTGCCGAAGTAAGTGCACCGGGAAGAGTATACACGAAAATTGATTTAAAGAATGCGTATTTTTCATTTCCAGTTGACAGTGAATCACAAGAAATCTTAAGCTTTACATTCAAAAATAAGACTTACAGATGGAAAGGATGCTGCTTTGGATTCTCATTCATATCACAACAATACTCACGAGTATTTGCGCAACTTTTCCAAGGGATGGAAGGCGTACGAAATTACATCGATGATCTGTGCATATATTCGGCGCCAGAAGATCACGCGAAAATTGTTAAGGCTGTAATTGAGAAATTAATCTCGGTTAATCTTCGCATCAACTTTGACAAGTGCTCGTTTCTTCAAACTTCGATATACTTGTTAGGATTTATTGTTCGCCCCGGAATCAAAAGAATTGATACGAGGCGATTGTGCAATATTGACGACTGGAAAACACCCAGAAATAGTCGTGATGTTAGACATATTATGGGCATTGTATCACATCTGAGAGAGTTCGTTCCCTTAATGGGAAGAATATCCTATTCAATCAACGCACTCCGGAACTGTAGTGAAAAGAATAAGCCATTTATATGGACTACACAACAAGACGAGGCATTGAAATTGCTGAAAACATGGCTTACATCCAGTACAATTTTGCACACCATCGACATGACCAAGCGTATATATATAGAAACTGATGCATCACATTATGCGTATTGAGTTTTAATCTCGCAACGCGATGAGCTCGGCAGATCTCTATACATTACATTTGCCAGTAAAATGTTTGGCAAACATGAAATGGTATGGTCCATAAATCGAAAGGAAACATATGCAATTGTATATGCCTTTCAGAAATACAGGTCCATTCTTTGGGGACACCCTGACATCGTTGTATCAACTGATCACAGAAGTCTGGTATTCATGAACACAGCTACGCACTTATGCCGAACGCTGCAAAATTACATGGACGTTCTCAGTGAATTCAAATATCGAGTCGAGTATATCCCAGGATTTTCCAACACATTTCCTGATATATTAAGTCGCTTATACCCCCCAGAAGTCGAGGATCAAATTTTGAGGGAGGATGAAGAGAAGAAAATTATGAAGTTAGAACGTATGATCTTGCAAAGAAGACTACCGACTGATAAGATCAATCAAAAGATTGCAAAAGATCAATTCATTCATAAAAAAGAAATATACAGTAAAGATGAAAATTTGAACGTATTAGCTGTAAGACTAAACAGTAAAGAATACAAAGAAACAACAACTGAATACATAGCTCCACCCATAAATGAAAGAAGTAAATTATTAAGTGAAACTCATGCAATGGGACACTTTGGATCAGAAAGTATGGTACAACAATTACATGCTCAAGGTATACACTGGAATGGTATATTTAAAGACAGTAAAGAATACGTACAAACATGCATCGATTGTGCACGAAACAACATCGCAAAGAAAGGTTATCATCCATTGAGACCTGTGGTCAGTGCAGATCCATTTACATTCTTAGCTCTTGATTTAGTAGGTCCATTTTCCGTTACAGAGAATAATAACATATATATCCTGGTAATGGTCGACTTATGCACCAAGTACATAATTGCGAGACCACTGAAAAATAAACAAAGCAACACAGTGGCAAAGGCGATAATGAATGTACTAGGAGACTATGGCATACCAATAAATCTTATGTGGGTAACAGACAACGGCCGCGATTTCTCGAATGCTTTGATGAACTCGATCACAAATGCATTAGGTATTGAACATCGTTTTTCGACACCATATCATCCAAGGGGAAATGGTGCAGCAGAAAATGCCGTAAAGGTAATCGTTTCCACACTCCGCAAATTATTAGGCAATGACACGAATAAATGGGATGAAATGTTACCCATCGCACAATTATGCTGCAATTATAAAATACGTAATCGAACCGCTAGTAGCCCATTTTCATTGATGTATGCGAGACAGTTGATAACTCCCAAAGATTACACTGATCCTTCCAGAACAATCCCAAGAAAATTGGCGACAGAAGAGGATTTGATCAAACGAGCTGAAATAATGGCATCGGTTGTATTTCCCGCTATTGAAGAAAGAACACGAAAAATAGTTGAGGAACAAAGTAAGAAGTTTAACAAAAAGCATTACCTCATTGACATTACTAACGACACAACCGTTATGGTAAAGTTACCAAATAGAGCAACCAAGTTATCACCGCTATACGAGGGACCATTTACAGTTGTACGAAAGACAATGGGTGGCACTTATGTATTGAAGGATGAAATGAACGAGTTGTTACACTGTGATTATGTTCCGTCAGAGTTGAAAATTGTAAATATTGACGAGTCAGGAATAGAAGACGAGTTATTCGAAGTTGACGAGATTCGTGATCACAGAGAAGACAAAGAAGGCAATCGCGAGTATTTAGTAAAGTGGAAAGGTTACGGAGAGCGAGAGAACTCATGGTTACAAGCATCAGCATTTTCATCGCCAGACACAATTCGCAAATATTGGGTAAAAGTACGTGAGCTTGAAAGACTAGAACAAGAAAGAAAGAATGAGTTAGTTCAACGCTCAGAGAAAGTTAGCAAACGACAAGAAAAGCATACAAAGATTATAACTAATAACAAAAGAAATACAAGATCTCATAAGGAGACTATACATAAAGAACTTCCCGCTAAGAAAGACGTAGCAATCGAGATAGATAAATTTTTTTTAAAAAAAAAAAAAAATATATGTAAATAGATATACCCACAGGAACAAGTCACAAAAATATGCATACAAAAAAATCATGTAGCTAGGATGAGGACATACTATGAAAAATGCTGAAATAGGAAGCATACCTATCATCGATCAACTAACGTTGAATCTAGAGGGAGGACATGTGCTAAACGCACATACAATAAAAATCATCGGTAATCCAAATTTATATAAATTGTCCAAATTTGGAACTCTGACACATTGAATACAATAGAAGAGCCGATAGAAAATATTATTAGAAATCATTGAAGCAATCTGTCGGCGACAAGCGTACCCTTGAATTCATGTAGAATTCAACAGTCAAGATAAATTTATGGACTAGCAATTCTAATAACAGTCAGCTTTCAAAAGAGTATAAATAGACCCCATTATTTCATAGTTAAAACTTCAGTCAAATAAAGTAACAAGGACTTATAATCGTACCTATCGTACCATTGTTTTTTTTATATACTTTATATTTTTTTATCAAATCAGAAGTAATTGATTTGTAACACTGTTTTTTCTAAATGCTTTTTTTTCTAAGTGCTTTTTTTTCTAAGTGCTTTTTTTTCTATGTACTTTTTTGTTTTTCTCTGCGTAATTTTTTTTTCTACATACTTTGTTTTTCAACGTGTTTTTAATATGCGTGTTTAATCTCACGCAATCAATTTATGTATGAAAAAAGATAATGAGATCTTTGTGTTTTTTTTTATTTTTGCACGAGTTTATAATAAATAATTTAAATTGTTTTAATTTTTAGTCTTCCAAAAAATTGGCTTCGAAGTCAAAGGGATGTAGGAGCTCGCCAACTTTATAGGTTTGTTCCATAATTAGAATCGCATCTTCATATTTCACACCTTGGTCTTCAGCGGTAATCCAACAAGCAATTTCAGGGACGATGACGGTTGTAAGATATTGTTGGTGACTTAAACCAGTTTTTTTTTGTGCACTCGACCCTTTGTAAGCTTCATGGGAAAACTTGTAGATGGCTGCTTTGCTAATAATTTCAAAGCCTATTTGGCCATAATATCCTGGCTAAATGATATATAACATTTAAGTAATTTGCATTGTTATTGGCGTTTAATAATTTATTACCATAATACGGTGCTTGTTTGCGTAGAACAGGTTGAGCAATTTGTATTTAGCTGGACCCCCAGCAGCCTCAATATCAGATTTCGAGTATTCGAATTGGCTTCTGACTGCTCCAGACAAAAGCCTGTCGATAGCTCCATTTTTAACCAGATTCTTGGTGAGGTTGGCAAGTGATTCGAATGTAAAGCTTTCGCAGAAATACTTTACAATTAATGGACGTTGTTCTTCAATAGTGTGTAATTTGCAGAACTCTCTAAGTTTGGGCTCGTATATATTGTGTATTTTTTTAGATTGGCCGTTGAATTTTTTGAAGTTTCTTGAGTATTTGTTGCCTTCAGCATACAGTTTTTTTTGTATGTATTCCATTTTTAAGGTATCCAGTTTATAATAAGCATCCATAATGGGGGTATGCTTATTGTTAATTCTGAAGACGAGATGTTGGCATTTATGACAAAAAAACTCAGTTTCCGGCTGGTCAGGAGTATTAATTGCTTTGATAGCTTCTATTGCTTCGATTGATGGAATAAGTGAGGGTGGTACTACGACACGTTTGGGTTTGCACAGTATTTCACTGGAGATAATTTCTGTTGTTGTTGTTAATGGTGCTTTTATTGTGTCTGTTGTGTCTGTTGTTGTGTCTGGTTGTTGTGTCTGTTCTTGTTTTTGTTGTTGTGTCTGTTGCTGTTTCTGTTGCTGTGTCTGTTGTTGTGTCTGTTGTTGTTTCTGTTGCTGTGTCTGTTGTTGTTTCTGTTGTTGTGGGTTCTAATTTTGTGTTTGTTGTTTCTGTTGTTGGAGATTCCAATATTGTTTTTGTTGTTTCTGTTGTAGTTTCTAATGTTGTCGGATTTATATTTTTTAAATTGAGTTTGAGAAGTAGTTTTTCATTCTTTTGGTTATATTATTTTCTTGTTGTTTTTGGTTTATGTTATTTTCTTGTTGTTTTTGGTTTATATTATTTTCTTGACGTTTTTGATTTATATTATTTTCTTGTTGTTTTGGATTTATTTGTGTTTTTTGTTGTTTTTGGATTATTTTTATTTTACGTTGTTTTTGATTTTTGGTGGTTTGTTGGTTTTCTTTTTGTGAGATCAACACATGGTATGTCTTGGTTGCTAGTCAAGACAGTATCTTTTGTTGTTTCTATTATGTTTGTGTAAGTGTTGATTCTTGTCTCCACAAGTCTATTCCAGATTTTGGATGTTTCAAGTCATCTGTTTTGTAAATTGTGGTATAATGCTGGAAGAGGACAGCTGTTTTTTTTCAATTCTATAGGTGTGTAGTGATCATCGTGTAATACGAAGCTTACCGGTTTATTTTCATTTAAAATGCAGTTTGGAAGTATGGTGATTGACTCCTTCTTGGAAAAAAAATAAACTGGGCGGCTGTACACATCAGCAATGAGATAACCTAAGCTTACATTAATAAGTATGATAGCACTTAAATATAGTTATTTTAATCATAACTACCTGTAGCTCCCATAATCATCCATTTGTCTTTCTCGCATTCGCCCATTACAGGAAGACTTATCGATTCTAACAATGTCTGGTATTCCGAAATGGAACCAGCAAAGAAGCAGCTAATATAATATGATGCATTATTGGTTAGCTGCTTCAATAGGCAGTTTCTTACATCCATACAGTAATCCTCATCCTTCTCAAAGTTACCCGAGAGTTCAACACCAAGAGACAGAGCAATTCTTTTCACTTCATCTTTTCCTACGGAGGCAGCAACGGAACGAAAACCGCAATTTCCATCGCCAAGAACTTTTGTCACCGAAGCGACGTGCTTCAGCATGAACTCAGGCATGCAGACGGAGAACAAGCCTACAAAAGGCTTGATATTGTCATCAATGATGGTAGAACCATCGAATGTCGCTTGCTTGAGCGTCTTTGTAGTGGATGGCTTTCGTTTGTTCACCTTTTTCACTTTAGCCTCATCGGCTTCACCTTGGGAAAGAATTCTCCCCGTCTTTGCAATTTTTTCTAAAAAACAAGTTATAAGTACTGATAAACTGAGTATAATATTATTTCTATGTCAACTTACGACTACTGATTACCAGTTCCTTCTTTTTCAAAGGCTGTAAGACCTTGACATCCAGATTAGCATTGATGTTGTCAACCATTTGGCTGATAACATCAAGCTTTTCTTTTCGTACGTGCTCAAATGGTATTTCTTCTATGGCCTGTCGAAGCTTGTGCAAAATTGTGTCAGTTGCATTTGTCTTAGTGTACACTTCTATTAAAGTTTAAAATGGGCTTTTTAACAGTTAAATCATTTGTCTATAAACATAAAATAATACCTGCTGACAACAACTGGTGTACACTCTCAAGAGAGGTCGAGTTTAGTGTTCGAACTTTTCGAGCTTGCACCGATCTTGCGCCAGTTCGAACGAAGCTCGAACCGAGTTTTTGTACTCGAGCTTGCGCCACTTTTTTTGGGTTCGAGCGAGCTTCGATCGATGCTCGCTCGGCTAAAATGTCGATAGTAGTCACTTTAAAGTTAAGGTCCTTGAAAGACTACAGATGGCATTTCTACTTGATTTTAATCTTTTCTTCCCTTTACCATTTTTTTTATTTATGCTCTAATAATTCCAATTAAAATGCTTTGGACTTTTATTTAATTGTACAACCAGCAAACACATTTACCATAGAGAATGAAACAGTGTTGCACACTATACCCAACTAAGTCAATTTTTTACAGCAACCATAGTAACATGACGTAGCAGAATTAATTTAAACTTTCATGTTCACAAATCCAAATGTATTATAATTATAGATGCAGTAATAGTTTGATTTAATTATCCGAATTTGGTGTTAAGGCTGGTGAAAAAAAAAACTTTTTCTTTTTCCAACTTCTATTTCAATAAATAACAATTTTATTACCATAATTTTCTGTAATTAACATCACTTTGACGTGCACTTTGTGTAATAAAAAGGGCGAGCGAGTTCGAGCTATCGTATTCGCAACCGAGCCGAGCTTAAGAAACTTCGAGCGAGCTCGAGCTGCAAAAAAACGCATCCGAGCGAGCTTCGACTGAAACACGATCGAAGCTCGATCGAGAGTTTCGATCTTCATTCCGAACACTAGTCGAGTTATTGTTCAAGGCCAATTTTCCAACAATCCATCTTGCGTCCACAGAAGAGAGAGGAATGACAACATCCTTGCGGATAACCAGACTGTCCCATCCATTACTGTTTGTCTGGCTGCTGAATAACTGATCATATTCTTCCTTGTATATGATATGTCTACAAGGTAGCTTCATGACAGTACTGAAAACTCCCGTACAAGGTCTCAAGCTGCGATCACTGATCTCTTTCTTGAACATTTGTATTTGCTCCCTAATCTTCTCAATTGCAAATCTGCTAACCACCTTGACCAATTCACGAAACATTGGGTTGGTTAAAACAAAAGGATCGGCCGAAAACTTTGAGTAACCTTTACCCATGACAGCTTTGATGTTCTGGTTGGCCAGCACCATATCTAATTGAACAAATGTTGTGGCCAAGCTACATTTGGAAATTTGACGATTATTTCCTTTCAATGCACTGTGGGCTGCTTCGACATGACTGGTCGTATAAATTCCCATGTGGGAAAACTTATCGGTGTACTGCTTGACCCAAGAAGTACGTTGTTTGTACAATTCGTCAACAAAATCCACAATCTTTTCCACATTTCTTGTTGCATTCAATGCATGCTTTTTGATGTTATTGACATTGGCGATAGTTTCAGCATAGTTTTTGCTACCATGTAACATCCAAAATAAGTTAACTAAGGCTTCATATTCTTTTGTGTCGGGAAACAACTTAAAAAAATTGGCTTTGACATTTTGAGCGATAATGTGCCAAACACAAATCATCTTATTGACTTCTGGAAAGATATTATCCAGGGCACTACGAACACTTGCAGCTCTATCAGTGATAATCACTTCTGGTAAGGTACCAGCATTCTGGTAGATCTGCATTGTTATTAATATATGAACAAAAACAAGAAATTATAAATAAAATAATTTATTTCAAATTTAAATGAGAGTGATAACATAAAATAAAAATAATAATACAAAGATTGAAGGATAAAAAGTTAGATTTTTTTTTCATGCATCATGTCAAAACAATACCTTTGTCTTGAGTGTCTCAAAAAACCACTCATAAGTCACCTTGGTTTCGTCCGCAACCCAGGCCAAAGCAATAGAGTAATTCATTAAACCCCTCTTCGATCCATTGCTGATATTGTTGACACCAATGGCATTTATGAGGGGATAACCAAACAGGCTAGTACGGTATGTGGCGTCAACGAGAAGTACTTCGGGGCATTGACAAATGTTGTTTACCGCACTAACATGGGCAAAGAACAAATGGGTCAACCTTCCATTCTCCTCATACTTGCTTGACAAAGTATAACCCTTCTCTTCTAAGTTGGTAGAGAAGGGAATCATGTGATGTTGATTTTCATCTTCGTTTAAAGCACGTCTCAACAGAGCACGTTGGTTAGTGATGTCCTTTGCAATCACTTTCGTCTTTGTGCACTTGACGTTGTTTACGGCCGCGACAATAGCCGATGTCTTGGCGTTTGCAACGTGCATCTCTTCAATCGTACGTTGCTGCTCGTAATGGAGCTTGCTGTTGTTGACAAGACATAATTTTTTGTCGTCTTCCAACATGTCATGATTATGGACATCGTTGTGGCTTTTAACGATCCAACGATCTCCATTCTTCTTGGGCAAAACTGCTCTGATAAAAAATTCGCAGGTTCCAGTCATTGTAACTTTAACTCTTTTGCAAGAGTTCTCGGTACGAACGGCCTTGTACTTGTTGCTGAATACACAGGCGTAATGGAAAAAGGCTGACTTTTTAGCATGTCCAATGGGTAAACTGTCCCGGATGAATAGCTGAAAACTTTGGTCGGCGGCAGCATCAAAACAGGCGTCTTTAAATTCCTCGGCGGAGGCAAAGGTATCACCTACGGTAGGAAAAGTTGTAGTTTTAAAAGTACTAATCGACATTTTAAAAGTTTTATTTAAGGAAAAACGTTACTGAAAAAATAAAAAAGTACGTAGAAAAAAAAAAGAATAAGTACGTAGGTCACTTTTTATTTGTTTAAAAAAAATCACGTGATTAAAAAAGTACGTAGAAAAAAAAAAAGACGTAGGTGTAGACATTCTCGGAACACACACCTTTGCCTTTGTTAGGTACTGTATACACGTGAAACCATTTCTTCTTCACGCGTCTAACTTTTTTTTTAAGGTGGTTCAAGGAATCAGCGGTGCAGTTGGGTTCTTATAACCATCACAACATGCATGTTGTTGCCAATGAGTTTGAAGAGATGTCATGCATGTCCATATTGCCTGTTCATCTTATTCGTTCACCCATTGTAGTCAAGATTAGTCACCTCGACAACATCAATGTAGTAACGAACATGGCTCAGAGGTTATTTTTTGAAATGGTAAAACGTTCTTTTTTTTTTCTCTCAGTATTATCTGGTTTTTTTTTATGGTTTTTAGGATCTATTTTTATTCAGATGAAATGGCCCATCCGGGCAAGCGTGCACGCTGTACTGTAGTCAAGGGAGACTCGACTACTCTTGAGGTACGAGGTAATGAAATACCTCGAGAAGGACCGGCAGGAGCATCCAAAAAGGCATAAACCTCTTCCAACTATTGGAATAAATGTTTTAAGTAAATTAGCATTGGCTTAGATGTTCAATTTATTAACTTGCCTTGGTAGATCTCCAAGAGGGACAGAGCTTTACCAACGACGTGGCCAATCCGTGCGCATTGACGGCGTCGTTTTCCTCGTCTGACATATATGCCGGATGCACCACAGCGTGACAATCCCCAGACGAGATATGGAGGTGTGCCTCAATCATATGTTGAAAACGTTCAAAGTTTCTTAAACGTCTTCTCAGTTTCTAAATCGAAGGTACAGTTTAATATTTTGTGTGATTTTGATTCTTATACTATACTTACGTTGGCCATTCTTGACCCCATGTTAGAAACAACAGCAGCTTGTTGTACTTCTGCTGCTGTTTGAGTTTGATTGCGACGGACTCGTCTTCTCACATTCTCCTGGTGCGTTCTGATACGCGTGGCCAGAACGGAGGCTTGATTCTCTCCAAGCTGGTGAGTATCCGGAAGGCCATACGTGCGGATTTCTTCCAGATGAAATTGGTTCAAGATATGGTTGTAAATATCGAGATTTGTTCCCGTCAACAAAGTTGAATTAACATCCCAAGCAGGAAGAGTTAATTCCCTACATGCACGCCTGTAGAAAGCTCGAATCAGGGCCTACCGATGGTAATATTAAAATGATGTACTAATATTTTTTGATAGACAGATAGGTATAATTCTTACACTCTGTTGAGAATCAGTTCCTATTCTTTCACTACCAACACGTCGATTTCCTCGTTCATATGCATCCATACGACTCTCGAGCACAGCAATGCGTTGGTTATCACCAGTACGTCTTCTAGGAGGGGCAACAAAGGCAGGTGCTGCAGGTTGAGCGGATTGCACCACGGGGGTACCGTTTGCGCTGTAAGTAATGTTATTTGTTGTGTTACTTGCCATAATATTTTGTAAAGAAGGGTAAAGAACAATATTATTACTGTTTGGATCTACGCTTATGATTAGACCCTTTTTTGCACACAATAAACTTGTCAAAGTAAAAAAAAAAATTAATCCTTTCATCTTTCTTTTATTTTATTCCATCTCTTTCTTTCACTTTCTTTTTCTTTTCCTTTTTTTGTAAAAAAAAAAAAAAAAAAAAAAAAAAGTTTTTTTCTGTTAGTAATATTCTTTTATTTTATAAGAGTTAACATGTCAGCTAACATTACTCTTGTATTGTGTTCAATTAAAAGAGGTAACCAGCCCAGGCCTACATATGTCCCTATAGTAAGAACCTTAAAAAATGCCACGCCTCTCATTCGAAACTAATCGTCCTCCTGCCTTTTTTTTTCTATGACAGGTCTTGTTTCCTCTACATTGGCATAACGCATTGTCTCCTTTCTCTTGGCCTTAATCCCCTTCGTTGGCTCTCTCTTAACAAAATAACAGGCTTTCTTTTTACTTGCGCCATTACTCGGGCATCCTTTTTTTTATAAAAAAAAAACTGGTAAGATAAGCACTCCTTCTGAAACGTGTCGAAGACCGACAATCATCTTTCATAGATGCCTACAAGACTCTGGTTACTACTGGCTTTTTGGCACGGCTGGCTTACGTACAGTAGTGCTAAAAACTGTCTCACAAAACTTACATCGACGATAAAATCCGCATTAATTACAGTATTCAAAAAATTAAAAATGCTCCTAGAAGGGGGATGTTATTGACACGTTACACAGTAGTTAGACGTTTTTGCCGTTGTTACATGCACTACAAACATAGAAAACGTCTTTTTCATATGAAATTGTTGTGATAATTTGAGTATAAAAGGGTAGAAAATAAAAGATAAAAATAAACAAGTAAAGAAATGAGACTCTTTAATCCTTTATTATAAGTTGGAGAGTTTGTCATGATAAAAATAGAGGTCCTTTTATATTAAATTATTACTTCAATTAATTTCTGCGTAGATCGAATAAACATTTCCAGAGACTGGGAATTGTTGGATTTGAAATATAAATCAGTAACGACATGAAACATAGCTTATAATTTATAGTTATGTAAGCCTATGGTTGTATGTCCGGAATTTCCAGCAGAGAAATCATTTATCCATTTAGCAATATGTGCGATGATTGGATTACTTGATTACTCATCGTAGGTGCTAGAAGGAACCGCAGTAAATCAGCTAACCGGGGTCCAATGTAGGGTATGATGTCCAGTTAGAAGATTATGAGAACTGGTACTGTGTCTGTTATAATATATGAAGTATATTATAACTCAAGACAGATTAAATAGTAATTGTATTCGATTTATTTAGGCGTCAAATACGACAATTGTTTCTGTTTATGGCGTTTTACGGACACTTTTTTCGGCTTCCAAATAAGGGCTTTGCCCCGAACTTTTTTTTGTCATCCAATTGGGACTTCGATAGCCATATGCTATAAAAATCCCATCTAAAAAACGTGTTTTTCCCACAACAATGTTCTACTGTTATTTTTGTCTTATTTCTACTTGCAATGCCTAAAAAACTTAGCCAAGACACCCGAAACAACGTGAAGTCCCTTATTGCTAGTGGAAAAACAACTAAGCAAATAGCTGAAACAACAGGAGTATCCCGAGCTCAAGTTATTCGAATGAAAAATGTGAATGATCCTGATCGCGAGCAATGTAATGGTGGCCGACCAAGTCTGATTCCTAAGAGAACTAAACAAGTAGTTAGTTTTAAAGTTCGAAGGGGTTATCTAGCTACATCTAAGGATGTTCAGAAGTATTTGCAAGAGATTGGTTACAGTTACGGCTATTCTTCGACCACTTACTTAATGAGATCTCTTGATCTTAAATCATCATTCAAGAAAAAAAAACCACTCATTAGCAATGTCAATAGAAAAAAAAGATTTCTTTGGGCTAAAGAACATAAAGACTGGACCGTAGATGACTGGGAAAAAGTTGTCTACTCGGACGAGACAAAAGTAAACAGATGGGGATCTGATGGAGCT